CGAACCCGCGACCCTCAGATTGCGAGTCGAGTGCTCTAACCACCTGGCCATGCCGGGCCTTCGGGTTGTTATTTTATAACAATGATTTTTTTGCTATAGTAACACCGGAAGGAAAACATACAACAGTTGATAGATGGAAACAAGATCGAACAAGATGACTGCATTAATTCTGAGCTGGTTAAGGAAATATTGAAAAGTTTAAAGAACGATAAGGCTTCCGGGCCAGATAATATTTCCAAAGGGTTTTGAAGGAGGTTAAAGATTGGATACATGAACCACTTGCTACTATTTTTTGTCAGTCGTTGAATAGTGGACGGGTACCAGAGGATTGGAAGTTAGCTAATGTAACTCCTCTTTTCAAGGGAGGTGATAAAAACTGTCCCAGTAACTATAGACCCATTATTCTTACATCAATTGTGGAAAAAGTTCTGGAAAGTCTGATAAAGGATGTTTTGCAAAGTCACTTAACAAAGTTTAGAATTTTATTGGATAGTCAACGTAGTTTCACTAAGGGAAAATCTTGCCTTACAAATCTTTTAACATTCTTTAAAAATATTACTGCTTATGTAGATGAGGGTAAGAGTGTAAATTTGGTGTATGTGGATTTACAGAAAGCATTTGACAATATGTCACATAAAAGGCTTGTAAAAAGTTACCTTTATAGGTGTGGGGGATAAGTTAGCAAATTAGACAGAAGAGTGGCTGGATGGAAAAAAGCAGAGGGTTGTTACAAATGAAGTTCAGTGAAACTGGTTTAATGCCACAAGTGGGGTACCTTATGGCTCAGTCTTAAGACCTTTGATTTTTTTTTTTGATTTACATAAATGACATAGTTGAAAGAATGATCAATACATTACTTAAGTTTGCAGACGATATTAAGGTGTTGGGTGTTGCTAGCTGTGAAGAGGATGCTGTTGATTTACAAAAGGATTTAACTCATTTAGTAAATTGTACAAATAAATGGCAAATGGGTTTTAATTATAATAATTACAAGATAATGCATGTGGGTTATCATAATTTGAATTACAACTATAATTTGGATTGGAACATCCTTAACAGTGTCATAAAAGAAAGGGATCTTGGTGTAATAGTTGATCAGGTTCTAGAGTTATCCACGCATTGTGCTGTTGCTACTGGGATGGCAAATATGATTTTAGATTGTATCAACAGAAATACTGAATACAAGTCTAAAGATGTTATAATTTCATTGTATAAGTCACTGGTTAGGCTACATTTTGAATATTGTGTTCAGTCTTGAGCTCCTACCTAAAGAAAAACATGTTTTGAATTGTTGGAAAGGGTTCAGAGAAGGGTTACTAGAATGGTGCCTGGGATGAAGGGATTGTTATAGGAGATGAGGTTGAAATCTCTGAACTTGTTTTCTCCTAAGAA